GTCCTAGCTCTTCGGCATACTGCTGACCCTAGCCGAGGCTGTCGCCTTCGTGGTATCGGGGATGTACGGCCCCTTGTCTGTCCTCGGGGCGGGGAACGCCATCCTCATCGTGTGCCAGCTGTTCCTCATGGGGGTGATGCTGATTCTCATGGACCAGGTCCTCCAGAAAGGGTGAGAGCGAGGTGGATGGACGTCGGTGTCGGCTGCTAGCGGCTCGCAAGCTGGTAGCAGCGGCAGGGGTTGCAAGGGTTATGCCCTGTGGTGTGGAGAGGGAAACAATGTGGCCTTCGAGAAGAGAAGGATATTGAGCATACGGGAATGAGTTGAGGAGGCTTGATTCCTACATCTCGGCTTACATGTCACACTCCATAGCTGTGTTGTATCTGCTGCTGTACGGCGACTCACCGATGTATTCTGGACGGGTCCGTTGTGTCCAGCGTCTCTTTTCTCCGTGATGCCGTTGCCACCGCCTCTACTGCTGCTGATGCTTCTTCCTCGCGGTGCGACCAGCATTGCGCCTTTTTGTGATGTGTACACCGCTGCCGGTGTTGATGCCTGACTTGCCTCCTCCCCCGCCCCCCTGCAGGTGGGGGATAGGCTCGGGGGTGTCGCTCTTCATGTGCGCCAATATCTGCTCGACCGTCTGGTGGAAGACGTTCAGCTGGGTGTCGGTGACCACGGCGAGGGGGGTGGAGAAGGAGGGTGCCTTCTTCGCCATCTTCCACCTCCTCCTCACGAGGCCCGACAAGGTGTTGTTTGGTCCGCCGCGGGATGAGGAGCTGTATGTGTGGGGTGTTGGCGCGCTTTCCGAGGTTGTTCCGGAGTGTTCCGGAGGTGTTGGGACGATCTCACCTCCACGTACACATTTTGCTTGTAGGCCCACGGGTCGCACGGGTTCGGTGTTGATGTTGGTACTGCCGTTGGCGGTGGACAAGACACACCGTGAGGCATGCCGTCAGTGTTGGAATCAGGCCTTCCTCCCTCCCTGCTTTCGGGTGATCCTGCCGTGCCCCCCGCCCCCTCCCCTTAACGAATCATCC